AGTTAAGGAGTATGTACCAGCATCTTCGCTGACTGGGTTACTGTTTTCATCTAATAAAACAAGAATACATGTGCAACATAAGGGCGCATATCTGTTGTTGTTTTTTTTTTGTTGTTGTTTTTTTTTTTATTTTATTTATTTATTAAGATTGGTCAACTTTGTCAGTCCATGTTTCTGCGCCGAAAAAAAGAAATAGAGAATGCAAACCTTTGATGACGACTTGTTCTACTGACATGTCAAATTTTCTGTCGCCGTTTTCGTAGAAACGCACTTTTTCCTGAAAGTGAAATAAAAATCGCCGATTACTAACCGATTACTATTATGTTTCATGTAATAAATCTTACATTTTATGACTTGATATATATACCATCACTCCCTGTACACTGTAGTTCAGTGAGGGCTGCTTCACACGCACTACCACTTCATTCTTTATTTACAACATACAACACTCAAATAGCATAATAGGAAAAGTAAGTACTCGGAGAAAACCCTCGTGGCAAGGGAGTGAACTACACACCAAACAAACTCAAATCACATATGTGGTTATTATTTCACTGTTTAGTCACCCAGTGGCATGGGTATGGGTTTTTAAAGGGGTTGGAAATTGGTGCAATGTACCTCGAAGGGAACCTTGTGTCCTATTGTGAAGCACCAGTTTCTGGGCAAATTCTAGTCTCCTACGCATGCAGCCGCTATTAGTTTCGTCGCGTAACGCTCACTCACCTAAGTACGAAGGACTAGCGTCCGAAACGTCAGTAATTTTTTTCTTCATTTCACGGTGTATAATTTACCTTTTATCATTACTGTTTCATTAGAAACACCAACGCAGCTCACACTAGTTTTTAGCTAGTTATCTCTTCACTCCCCTAGGTAGGGGAGTGAGCGTGGCGTGACGACACTAATAGCGGCTGCGTTGGAGACTAGGCAAATTCTCGAAACTCTCAACAACAACAAAAATCATCAATCTAGAATCAGACCTGCGACCCTAGGCTCTCATAACTATACATAACTATACAGCTGTGACAGCACCGAAGCGGCGCATGCTATCCAAGAATAACAAACTGCACGTGCAAGAAGAAACAGCAGCGCACACCCTTGCTCGAAGATTAAATTAAAAATTAAAATGAATTTAAATTACATTAAGAATAAGAAGTTTCACTGACTCACCAGTTTRGGAGATCCAAAATCCAATTTCAAGGCTTCGCGGTAAAACACACTAGTTGTAGATGTGTCCCCATATGTCACGTTTTCCAGTGGCTTTCCTAATGTACCATTTGAGTTTTTCAAAACATGCGCAATAGACCACACTGCGTCATACGCGTACATCATGACGTCATCGACGGTTGTGACGTTGCCTTCGGAACGCAAATTATTCTTTACGGTACTCGTATCCTAAAATAATAAGTAAGGTAAAATAAATTTAAGTATGAATGATATAGCACTGGCCAAGCATTGAATATTGCGATTGAGAAAACGAGAAGAAGAAAAAGAAGGATAAGAAAAAACAGTTAAAATTAAAAATATATAGATTTTATTACACATTTAGTCGGGTTCCATATCAGTGTGATAAAGCCGTGAATAAAAACTATATCACTAAAGTGACTTCACTCGCTCGCGGACTCGCTTGTTTGCAATAGGCAGATTAAGATTCGCGGATTTTTTTTTTTTTTTTTACCTCTTGCAAACCTTCTTGACAAAGACAAGTTTATCTGCCACTTGTAGATTTTTTAATGGTCAACTGACGTTTAATGTTTGCTTTAAACGAAAATCTTAAACTCTCTAAGTATTACGTGGAAACTCGTGATTAAAAACCCAGTTCTTCACATGTGTTTATCTCTGTGTAACGCCGCGTTGGAATAATAGGTGTCAATTTCTCTTTACTCGATGGTTTCTATTTTCTTTTAGCATTCTCACGGAAATTATTGATTTTAGATTAAAAAATATTGATTTTAGATTCCTGGTAAGCAGTGTCATAATCTTCAACCGTAACTAATACGTGGGAATAGACAAGAATATTGCTACACTCGCCTCTCAATTCCTGGACTTGGCATTATATATGAGATTTATTAACTATGATGTGAGTAAAGTCTCCCTTAGTTCGGAAGTTTTTTTTTCGGTATCCGGTTATTTCGCCTTAATTCCGTAAAACACAACACAGAACTAAATTACAGTGCGCGATGTGTGGGTTATCCGTACCCCAGCTAACGTAGAAGAGTCCGGAAGTTGTTGCAGGGTTCYATAAAACAGATGTTACATCTTACCTTTTTAGAATGACTGAAAATGTTAGAGCTCTCATAATCCTCGTTGGCTGGTTTAACAGAAAAGTAGTTTCTTATCTGACAAGTCATCTCGATGCTTTGACAGCCACCAATATCTTCACCAGGTCTAGGATTCCACCAAYCGTTGTTTCTTGCCATTTGAAGAATCCATATGTAGTGTGGTCCATACAGAGCATGCCTATGTGCCTATAGAATATATGGTACCTCAGTACAACAAGCTAATATGAGTGCGGTCCATAGACCATGTCTACTTGCCTATAGAATACCATATATGGTACCTCATGAGTAAAACCAGCTAATTGATTATTACACATCGTGGTGCTATTACACATCATAGTGTGGTCTATACATATATAGACCATCTCTATGTGCCTATAGAATATCATATATATACCTCTTGGTATAACAAGCTGCTATTATATGTCAAAAGTGTGGTTCACACAGGCCATGGCTATGTCTCTACAGAACATCATATATGTAACGCAGTATTTTGCTTATGCTACACCAATTATAGACTTCTTCCCTTCTAGTGCTGAGTCACAAAAACCAGTTCAAAAGTGTCTTGTGGACTCTCGACTCATCCTATTCTTGAGTGTGTTCCGTTTTTGTTTTTGTTTTCCTATTTCACGGAATTCAGCATTGAGTCAACAAACTTACCTGACAAAATAATCTTCTAGCTGCAATATCCAATGGAAAGAGACCAATGATCACGTGAATATTTTTATCCTATAAACCAATCAAAACATTTTTGTTACAGTTGGTTGCAAAAATGCTAACGAGAGATCTTTGGTTTTACCAATCAGTATGTCGATCATTAAAACAGCAATAAATATAAACCTGTTTTCGCGCGTCGCTCAGTGAAGGAAACGTCTTGAATGTTAGCAGTCACAGTATAGACCCCTCGCATTGATTTCCTAGAGGAATTGTTCTGGGAGGACAAAAYAATAGGCCGTCTTTTCTTATGAAAAAAAAAATCCTTTGTTTTGTCCCCCAGAACAACTCCTCTCGGGACTCAGTGCAAGGGGTCTATAGCATATTCATTTTTTGAGTTCATTAAACAAGGTGCCTCCTGGTCTAACTCGGGTGCAAGCAAAACCATACAATGACCAAAAGATGTTTGTATCCAAGCTAGAACACAATACATCATGTTCAGTATCTATGGAAAGGTCTTAGTTCATCATTTCAAAAGGCCTATGATTGCAAGACCAAATGATTCGCCTACCAAAAAGTGATTCCATTACGAGATGCATTTTAACTTTCTGTTTTCTTATCTACTAACCTGAATGGTTCTGACAGCCCTCTCAGGATCATTCGCCTGCAGCCTAATCTCGGCAATAACTTTTGTACTTGATTGGCTTTCGATGCGAGTCTTTAGATTGTTTGAAAGCTGAGTAAAAAGCAATATGGAACTCGATGACAATATGGTAATAATTGCTCAACTGGAAATARCTAAATCAGTTATTGGGTTTGTACGATTTTGACATTGAAAATTGATAGGTAATCACAAAAACACATTTTGTCAACTCTATATATCTTATTCATTATGTCTTCTAATCTTATGTTAATACAGATAACATATTTTTTACTTCTTTTTCAATAAGCTATACATTTAAAAAACGGATGTGCCATCTTTGCACTGACTATGGTCCTGACTTATCATCAGGGAATAAGTGATTTTTTAAAATGAAGACATTGGGTCGTCAAAACGTCCAATAATGCTTTTGTCTCTCATTCTTCATTTGATGATGCTTCCCCTTTTTTACTTTTTTTTTTTTTTTTTTTTTTTTTTTTTTTTTTGTATAAGAATAGTACCTTCGCTTCGTTTATACTGTCCCCATACACAATTCCAATTTCTGTCCAGCCGTAGAATTTCAAGAATGCTATTCTAAGGTCATCAAATGTTGCCATAGAGATGGATGTACGAAAGAAATATGGATACAGACCACGATAGTTGGATAAATACAAATCGTTGGTGCCATAGGAAAACTAAGAGAAAACAAGAAAAACATTACAGCATTGCTATCGATCGAAGTGTGTGTTATCACCATCATCATAAACTTCTTCACTGATCACCATCATCATCACCTTCACATCGTTTTGACCATTATCATCATCTTTAACATCATCACCATCTTTTCCATCATCACCATCATGATCAACATCATCTTCACCATCCTCATCATTATCATCATCGCCATGATCATCACCATCATCATCGTCGTCATCTTCAACATCATTATTATCATCATCTCAACCATCATCTTCATCGTCATCTTTATCACCATTATCGATCATCATCATCTTCTTCACCATTATTATCATCGTCATATTCATATTCATCTTCATTGTCATCATCACAATCATCMTCGTCAACACCATTATTTATCATCATCACAATTATCATCATCATCATCACATCATCGTCATCTTCACCGTCATCTTCAATATCATTATCAATATCATAATCATCATCATTTTTACCTGTAACACTCCATATGATGGCGCCCCAGCATGATGTGCTATGGCCTTTGCTATATCATTATCAGCAGGTCCCAGCAGCATAATTTTCTTTGGACCGCTATTCAGGTAGTTATAGACACCTGATGCAGAAGTGAAATCAYATTCCTGAAACACAAAACATTAATATATATTAAATAAATCTAGATCAAGCCGGAAATCGTTAACAATTTTCTCTAGTGTCCACTAACTTATCAAGTCTAAGCTTTACGGTCCTAATCTACCATAATTCCAAATCTTAGCGGCCCCAACTACTCATAGGGTGTTATATGTTCTTTAAGGAACATTAGGTACAGATGTGTCGTATCGCATGACTGTGACGGTGACGTGTGGGAACCTTTTGATTGGATTAGCGCGGAGAATATAGAGGCTTTGCACCATCACTTGAAGGCAGGAAYAATTGWTTCTGGTCTARTCTGATTTAWATTARAAAGGATTCAGTTTCCCAGGGGGAAAAGACTCTATTGTTATGCCYCTTGTCATAGCTGCCATCACGTGATGGTGCAAAACCTCTATAGGGCGCCTCGATTGGTTCAAAGATGTTGTCAATTTCGTCACATAACAACAGCTAGACTTCCATACTAAACCTTCTCTATGATTACTAATGACAGGAGCATTTTCTCTCAATGGAACATGGAAGATGCTCATTATAATAGTCCCCTTCACAGTTCCCTGCGACATCTTGAAAGGTAGCCGTGCCTTTGCATCGAAGCGAGACGAAAGGAAAGCTTGCAATGATAGAGATACGAATAATTGTCTAAAGTGTTAAGAAAGGTSTCTATCATTGCAAGCTCACCGTTCGCCTCGCTTCGATGCAAAGGCACGGCTACCTTTCAAGATGKCGCAGGGAACTGTGAATGGGACTATTACGAATGTGAGCGTCTACAAATGGAACATKCGCAATAGAAATATTAAATTATCATTACAAATTCTTAATGGTACATTACCCGTGTGTCGTTGACGAGTAGTTCCAGGTTGTATCCCRGTAGAAATAAATTGCTTTTAATCTCTTGTATGGCTGCCTGAGAGGCAGAAATTATTCTCTGGGCGTCATTAGCATTGAAGTCAAATAACCCTCCTATATACAATGTTTTAGTTGCTATGGCAACGCAGATTAAATGACACGTGATCAGCAACGATTGAAGCCACAGTGATGTCATCTCTAGTCAAAATTTCCAACCTGAAAACAAGTATTTAAAAATTAAGACAAAATTAACGTGAATTATTAACACAGGATTTAAAAAGGATGCCTTTATCTGAACATAGTCCTAAAACTCATTAGCTTTGCAATACATTATTAGGAGTCATCTTAATACTGAGCTTAACACCTACGGCTTCTTTCTATTGACTAGCAAATAGTTACTCTATTTATATATAAGCCGTCATTCGATATTTTTTTCAGCTGCCAACCGGCCAAAGTCATTCAAAACAGGGCTCGAAGTAATCCAAAATAAGATAAACTCAAATGCAACACGTACTTTGACTAGTCAGGCAATCGTTAGATGTGACACATTTAGATCTTGTGTATGRATTGTTCGAGCTTTCTGAGTGATACAATCTCTCCCGTGTTTCTTGGTCAACTGATTCATAAGTCGGCGATCAGCAGYTCATTATTGTTTACGACTGGCAGATGCAAATCTTTCTTTTCTTTTCACTTATACCTCGACGTCGCTCACCGCACTTCGGAATTCTCTGATATATACAATTTTAAGTGAGCTTCCAAGTGTACTGCGGATAATTGTTAATATTTTCCTTTCTGTCTTCCTATTCAAAGTAGGTTACTTTTGAAAACCCAAAGTATTTTAATTATCTCAACTGACAGGCAACGACCAAAGTGGAGGCAACTGTGTGTTGTTTCTACTAATACTGTTGATAAAGATAACATGATCTTAGTTTGTTTGCAATTATTATCCTACGTACACTTATTTTAACGCACAGAAAAATATAATATTTTTATTGGATTATAGTTTCTTAGTCAAAACATGTTGTGGTAAAAATGTCGTTAAGATTTATTAAACTGATTAGAAAATAAAAGTTCTTTATTTTATGATTGGCAAAGTTAATAGAATTGAAAGGTTGATGAAAAGGAGAATAGACATTTGCCACACACGATGAAAGTTCGGAAGTAAATGTAGTTATTGTTGAAGAAAATAAGCACATTTTCGCAACGACAGCTAAGAGTTTAGGAGTAAGTAAAAGACACTTCGACACTCTAAATGTCCAAACTGACATTTTTTTAATGGTTTAAAAATTCCATAGTTTTATTGTATAATTGATTACACTGATAAATACTTCGAAAGATCCTTCTATCGAACCATGAAACAACCTCGGGGCATATTTAAACTGATGATCTAAAAATTTGAATAAAAAGAAATTTAAAAAATCATGTGTGGTAGGTGGGATTCGAACCAACGTTAACTGACAGAACTTGAAAAACTTTGAAACGTCAGAAAGTTTTTTTACCTTTCCACGGTGTATAATTTACCTTTTTATCATTACTGTTTCATTCATTACACTGTAGAAACACCGACGCAGCTCACACTAGATYTTAGCCAGTTATCTCTCCAAAACTTTTGGTTCCAATGAGCTAACCCGCCCACGAGACATGAGTCTGCAGTGAAGCGTCGTATGGTCTTCGGATCTGATGGCCTATCCCGAATTCGCTTGACTGACCACGAAACAATGGTTTGAAGTCGAGACYGAACTTGATTATTTTGTTCATCAAGTTYAACCTCGACTTAAAACCATTGTTTCGTGACCAGTCAAGCGAATTCGCGATAGGTCTATTAAGACCGATCTGCCATTAATGTACGGATTATATATGGAATAACGTGTAGTGCTTAGCCCGAAGGTATCACGGGAAAGACAAGCCTGACCTATAGACCATAMCTACAGCTAATTCCTCGCGCGCTGCCTCGCACGTGGATTTAATTAAAGTGCATAATAATCGARTCAATCTGGAAATTCTATAATAAATATATGCATCTAAACTAGTTGTGAATTAAGAGAGAATTCTTTTCSTATTCAAGCAGTCAGCGCCAAAAACTATTTTCTTGAAGAAAGGCTGTTGTACAAGGCTAAAATCTTGTTATTCAGAAAGTTTAACTTGTTTGGAAGTGGAGATGACCGATNTTATTTCCCATATATTTTTTATAAAAAAAGCCTGACAAAGCAACATCTAACACAAATGCAATAAAATATCTTTGTACAATTGTAAATGCCGCTTCAAACAGGCATTTTATCATAGTACATCAGTTTCTAACTGTTTAAAAAGGTTTTTGAGTGTTAACCCAAAACGAAAATTGGGATCAAAACTCATGCGAAAGTCTAGTTTTTGGCGCTTGTTGCCATTATTGCTCATTATTGAAAAAAATTTCCTCTTAATATGTTAAGCTTTTATTTGCTCATTTTCTTTAAAGAGATGAACCCTATTCTAAGCAACCGGCAAAATATCATTGATAAAGAGAACTATTGCAAATAATGGATTTTTACAATGACGTTTAGGCGAACATGTCAAATACGACAATAGTCTCCTTCACAGTTCCCGGCGCCATCTTGAAAGGTAGACGTTCCTTTGCATTGAAGCGTGCAGCTTGCAATGATAGAGACGTGAATAATTGTCAAGATGTGAAAAAAGGTCTCTATCATTGCGAGCTCACCGTTCGTCTTGCTTCGATGCAAAAGCACTGCTACATTTCAAGATGGCGCAGGGAACTGTGAAAGGTACTATTGCAGAGATAGACAGCAGTTTTCGTGAGAGTGGAAAACGATAGGTGAATCGCACGGTAGGCAAAATTAAGCGCTGTGATTGGACGAATTACTTACAGACTATGGGAAGCCATTTCATTGTTACGGCATGCCATTTCATACCGTGTACGTGCTGCAAACTTAAGTCAGTACGTATATTTCCCATCAATACGGAAACTGCTCTAAACAATGCCGACTGACACTAAGTTATTTTGACAAAGCCACAAAACACAAGCAAACCAAGACCAAAGCAAAACAAATTACGTAGATCTACTGACAGGAAAATCTCTCACCAAACAGTTTAGTAAATTAAATGAGCAGCGGAATTAATTGACCTACTGGAATTGGTGGAGTTTAAGTCTGGAAAAAACATAGCAACCATGGCCATGTTTTAATCATGGTGCAAACACGGCAACGGAAAGAGATTAATAGAAATTTTGAGAACATTTGTTTTACCTTGGTGATCTAAAAAAAATAGCGTGTTTCTATGAAACCTATTGAAAAATTTTTTTTGCTCATTAATACTAGTACTTAAGTTACGGAAGACGGTTGTATTTGGCATAATTTACTAGTTTCATCGCTGCATAGCATGAATAGTTTAAAAAAGATTTATAGAAGGCCCATTGCAATATAACGTCATTCAATATCAATACCAGAATCCCTTGTACACTTTTTACGTTTCATTAGCACTATGAGAAAATGCACATTTGAATCAAGAAAGAGAGAAAGAAAGAAAGAAAGAAAGAAAGGAAGAAAGAAAGAAAGGAAAGAAAAAAGAAAAGAAAAAAGAAAGAGAGAGAGAGAGAAGGAGGCACAATACTTTCCGACTTCCGACAATTTCAAACAGGTCATTACAGATCTTATGGAACAAACAGTGAACGTGATTAGCAGGTTTGCGTATGTTCTGTACAAGCAATGAACAAACTGTCCAAAATAATCTATCTCTGATAATAAAACTAATGAAGCAAATTCCTTTTATTTTATCTCAAGAAACCCGCAACTTAAGTAAATTAAYACTCTGCATTGACTTCACTTCAATCCATCAAAGCCAAATAGAGTATTTGTTAAGAATCGTTTTAATTTTCCTTCTTTTTTTTTTTTTTTTTCCCTTGAAGTGGCAACTAATTTTTTTCTTTTTACGATGAATTTTCAGTACCTAGTTTAAACACAAAATTCATTTGAGATACCATACAAAGACTTTTTGATCAATTCTCSATCAGCGTTGTCTCAAGGGCGAATCTTAGTTTTATAGAGTTTTTAGATTCCCTAATCTCGAGTTCCAAGCTCCGTTGACATATAATTCCAAAAGACAATGTCTTTTAAAAAATACAGGCACAGCATGAGCAGAGCACCTAATCATAAGAGTCCTCTGAATTGCTTGTTTTAAAGAGGAATACATCTTATCTTKGGATAAAAGAGATTAGATTTATGATTGTTTTCGAATCGAAAATGAATACAGCGTTATTTTGCATTGACAAGCGGACAATTTCGTAAGATTCAAGAATTATCCATCATGACGTTTGAAAAAAAAAAAATGAAAAAAGAAGAAATAATCTGAATCCTCAATCTCATAAATAATCAAAAAATAAATAAAATTAAGTTAGACGCAGTGAAATTTACTGAAAATATCGTAAAATTCGGGCCATTTTTCTTCTTTAAGTAGAGTAGTTTCGCACATATGATGCTCGCTTAAGACGTGACAACATTGACTTTCACATTTGAAGACAGCAGTTGCCATAACAAACATAAACTTATCTAAAGAGATAAGTAGTTCTGCTGGAAATTTCTTGGCTTTAAAGATAAATTACCCTAGATTCCCGAACCTTTGAGAACAACTGKTCAAAATTGGCTGTAATATTGCATTTTGTCGACAAATTTTGGTATTGTTTATAGCGAATTATTGAATAATTCTAATAATTCTGCYATTGTTGTAGCTCGCGTGCGTGGTAACTCTTTCAAGGGCTAACTTAATACTACTGTACTTGGCTATTTATTAGCTTTAGTAAAGGCATTCGTCTTAAAAATAAAGCCTCGTCTGATAAATCTATAATGGTGTAAAGAAATGACACTATTTTTAGAAGAAAAAATGCTGAATGCTTTAACAATTGCACGAGGAGTAAGCAAACACTGCGCATTAAAAATCAAAGTTGACTTCAAAATCGAGGCAAGAGTTTTCGTCGATATTTGATAACTTGTTCGTATTTTAGGATCAAATTACATCGCTTGATATTGTAATTGTTTTAYATTCTTGGCTACTAAATTCTAAATACATATTATTTTGTGAATTATAATCCCTTTTGTGGGCATTTTTCCTTCTAGTCTTACACAATTTCGTCAACTGACGCAGTTAAGTCGATTGTGGTTCGAGCTATAGAGTTTCTCCTTCAAATTTTACCCGTTACGTGTCCAGTCTGTCCTACAATTTAGTTTAAAACTATTAAAGCTAGGCCAAATACCCACTATAAACTTAAGACGACGAGAATAACGAAGCTGACTCTACGAGATAAAGAGAAAAACTTGTTTAAAAACCTTACCTTCAACTTTTTCAAGCTTGTCACTTTTCAAGACATCAGTCAGAAGTGCAAAAATAAGATTACAGTGGACCTGAAAAACAGCAAATTCAAGCAATTTGAGGCCATTATATTCTCAAATGATTCTCTTCGAAGCCGTAATTAAAACAATTTAAGGATCCTATGGTTTCTTAAGTCGCTTAGGTCGGCTGTTAGCATTGTATTTATGACAGCATAGCTCTTAATGTACGACAACACATTAGCATATCTGACAACTCGAATTCACTAGAATATTACTGATCCTCGAGATGTTTGTCTAACCAAAGCCTCTACTTTCTCGACCTGTCTGGGTGAGATTTAARAGAATAGTGGAATACAAAGTTAGCCAAAAGTTTATCCTTGATTWAGGGATGGGCAAAGTCATTCATGCGACATAAAATAGAGAAACGCTTTTTCCAAGAAAATTTGTACAAAATGTAAAAAAAAACTTGGCTCCAATGATTTCGATTCCCAATGTCTTTTTTTTTTTTTCCTTCTCAGTATTAAATCTAGTTTCTCAAAGTTATTGTATAAAAGAACGCAAAGTATAATAAACTATTYTTACGTCATTTGCAATTGAATGTAAACATAACTGTTAATTAATCTGGAGTGTTTTGAATAAGATACACAATGTTTGACATGGTCTAGACATGCTTTCGATTGCTGCATCCAATTGTGCACACTTTRAAAAAAAGTAGGTGTTGCAATCCCTATCAAAAGAATTATTTATGTGAAAAAAATTTATCACTTAAGGTTAAAAATGGAAAACGAGAAAAGGAATGAAGAAGAGGACTGAGAAAAAGAAAAAGAAGGGAGGAGGAGGAGGAGGACGAGGACGAGGAGGAGAAGAGTATGGATAATGTTCTTGCAACAAAATAAAAAAGAACTGACTTTTTATTGGTATAATTTGTCTAGAATAACTGAAATGTTAATACGTTAATTTTAAATTCAATACCTTAATGTAAGAGCGATGACAAAATGTTCTTAAAGGATTAACCGGATAGTTTAATTTAAGCTCTTTCCTGTTTGAAGCGGTTAGTTTACGAAAGTATGCATTGTTGCTATGGATACTCTATGGGTGCTGATTTGTTTATTTTCATTAAAATATCCTACGTGCTTGATTATACATGGTCGTCAGTGAAAGTTATCCAATATATGACTGCTACTTTTATTCCCGTAGAGATGATTACAAACCACCTATAGTGAACATCATTCAACATGGCTGCCACTTTTATTCCCTTAGAATTAATTACAAAACAACTTATAGTGAACATCCTCCAACATGACTGCCACTTTTATTCCCTTAGGGATGATTACAAACCACCTAAAGTGAACTTCATCCAACATGGCTGCCACATTTTATTCCCTTAGGAATGATTACAAACCATTTATAGTGAACATCATCCAACATGACTGCCACTTTTTATTCTCTTAGAAATGATTCCAAACCACCTATAGTGAACTCCATCCAACATGGCTGCCACTTTTACTCCTTTACGAAAAGACTAACAACGTACCACCTATAGTGAACACTATCATCCAACATGACTACCACTTTTATTCCCTTAGGAATGATTACAAACCACCTATAGTGA